GGTTGGGTATTTTCGTTGTTGGAGTCACGTTATTTTTTGGCCCCGGCATTGTGTACCATCGGTACTGTGCGCGATTTCGGTGGGAGAATTTCCATTCGGTTTTCAGTAGTTGTACGCTCTGCGTCGTTCTGTTTTTCAGTGTGCGAATATTTTCTTGCTTATTCAGCTGCGATCCGTTCAATTTTCTCCCACCTCCGCGATGTCTTCTCGTGGTGTTTTAATTGCGATGAGCTCGGATGACCTCGCTGATGATATAATGTTGGCCCACAGCCCCACTTGTCTCAGAATGAATTCGTTCTTTGATGACAATAAAATAGGTAATAATCATTATTTCTTCATATTTCTATAACTTAAATTCCTTATTGAAAGTAAACGTTTAAATCGTAGCCAAAAAGTTACAATTTACATAAACTTATTTTCGTACCATAACCTTGCGCATTTATCTCGTAATAAAATTTTCCACGTTTTAATTCTATTTTCGTTCACTAACTAATTTAATTCGGCGTAAAATAAGATTTTACAAAACAAACAAAATACTATTTTAATCGTACCCACTCGAAATTCCACTCCTTTAAGTTTTTTTTCTTTTCTTCTTTGTGTAGATAGATACACAAAGAAGCGCTATAAATAAATTCCTTTTTATGATTATTCCACGATAATCTTTGTCAGCGAATTGATACTAACGGTTACAATTTTATAAGTAAATAAGGTTTTTGTAAACAAGTTACACAATATGGTGTCACAAAGTTCTTTCTATTACTACGGGGAATTTCCTTGATCAGGAATTTCTTTATCTTGCATTATCATAGATTAAACTCGTAAACGATTAGTTTGTTTTTCGTTAGAATGGAATTTTTTAATGTAATTACTGTAAAGTATATGATTAATAGATATCCTGCTGAGTGGAATTCACGTTTATACCATTTTTGTCAAGTATGATTTACAATTAATTCAGAAATTGTTAAGTATTTATAGATTCCTAAATTGTAACGAAAAACAAGATGTATTGGAAATTCCCACTATTGTTATTAAATTTCTGTGTTATTTCCTGTCCTAAATGTTGAAAGAATGTTTTGGTTACAGAAATTCTAAAAATATCAGTCCGCTCCAATCACAACAATCTTGCCTGACACTTACTTTGGATACTACAAGAGGTTGTTGCCAATATTATTCATGAAACGGAGATTCTGCTTGGCAAGATGTTATTCTTCTTTGTATTTTTCTCCTATGCCTCATTGTGCGTTTCTTATAAAATCATAATAAGATATTGTGGTGCTTTTATTCATTTTATTCATCTGATTTTATGAAAATATATGTTTTGAAAAGATCGTGCTGATTGCAAAAAATATCTCTGAAAAATGTAAGTGTTGTTTACTTGATACTGGCCAAACATGATCAAACAAAAGCAATTAAAAAAAGATTATTGTGACATCGAGGGTTTACGAATTTCTTTAACGCCATTAAAGATCCACGCCAATCGAAGTTGTTTCTAGAGCCTTCAAAACGTAACTTTAAAGATAAGTTTTTACATCATGGAAATTCGTTTGGCACAACACTGTTATTTATCCCAAACCTCTGTCAAAAAACTCAACCAATTGCTCATCCAAGCAAGATACTATTAAACAATTCACTAAAGCACTTCCATAAGATCAATGATTCCAATACTGGGTAATAAGTTTCGAAAATATCTCTGATTGAACATGCAGTTCAAGCTAACCTTGTTGTTTTAGAGTGATGACTTTTTAGAGTTCCACAGGAAACAGAAAATTCAAACTTCAAAGTCATCAGCCTTATGGTAATATTTGCTTTTGAATTACGAATAGCCTCCAGTGCTAACACCGCAAGATATCTAGACATGACTTTAAACACAAGGCTCAAATGGAGTCAACTGCATTGACTCCGGGAGTGATATGCCAAGATATCCAATCAAAATAAATTATTTACCTACCACAAGATTCTTAAACCATTCTGGGTATATGATATTCAACGATGGGGGTCTTCTTCTTTCTTTCCCCAGTGTATCCTTATCGTGGTGTTGGGAGATGGTTATCAAAATCCATCCTTTGTAATTTTCCCTCTCCACAGTAAGAGTTTTGAGCTGCTGCATGAGCTTGAGCTCTTTCCATGTTGTTCTCGGTCTCCCTATGAGTCGTTTGCCTTTCGCTCTGACCTCCATGTGTTGATCTATCCTCAATCATCCTGTCGTTCGCATATTAAGCTCTTCTCGAATACGGCTATTGCGCACTTTGTCTCATTAACTCTACTAATGTCTCTTCTATTTGCGGTCCAACTTTTACTGCTTTAGATAAGTATAGGCTCAATGACCGCTTTATAAACCCTTGTCTTGTCGTTCCGGCTTACTTCATTCTTTCTCAACACATACCGACTCAGGGCATAGTAATGCTTGGTAGCGTTGTCCACTCTGTTCATAAGCTCTTCACTAAGCCTGCTCATCTGATGGATTGTCGCGCCCAGATATTGATAGCTGCTAACCTGGGTGAGAAGTTGATGTGGATTATCCACCTATTCCTCTATCCTTGTCACTACCATAACATGACTCTTCACCTTGTTCAACATCATGCCCCTTTCTTTTAGAGTTTCTGACCACTCGAGTACAGCTTGTTGCTATTTCCTCTCCTAGTCTGCGATGAGGATTACATTATTTGTATATATCAGAGCCTGGTATATGATCGGTCTGAGGTTGAGCATTCCAATCACCGAAGTTTCTGTTCTTCTCTTGCATGGCTTCATCACTTTATCCATAAAAGTTACAGATAGCAATGAGGATAAACTGTCTTCCTCTCTAACACCTTTTTCCATGACTATCATGGCCGTTCCCTCCACTCGCTCCACACAAGATCATTTTCTCCCAGATGTATCGAAGTCAATATATTTTGACCATTTTTAACATTTCCAGCGCCAAAGATCTCCGACTAACGTAGCTTTATGCAAGTCTGTCGGACATGCCACAATGTGGCACATATATAGAACCTGTTAAAGTCAAACAAATATGACTGATGTAGCGATTAATGTATTAATATAAAATTAAGCAATATAGAATACAGGAAATTGTCGTTATAATCAAATTCTTTTAGTAATAATGACGTTATCGAACAAGTTGTTAAAATTAACAAATGCTAAAAAATTTCTTTACATATTTAGCAAGGAAATGCCGAGTATTTACAAATATATCGACTATGATTAACCAAAATTAATGTGTTTCACCTTTTTTGCAACATAATTTTAGATATTACTTTATTGAATATGTTGCATAATTCTGCCGCGCAGTGTATAATATAAGCTGTTTTTCTTGGATCATTAAAATTGATACTCTCTCGTTTCTCATTTCGTTCTAAAATTAAAACATTTTTATGGTTTGATGTGGGTTTAATTGTTGTGGAGTAAATTAATTGCGCTATCCTGATATGATTGGATTTGTTATCGTTAAAAACAAAAATAATGGAAAAAAGATTTTTTTGTTTGTCATAAAAATGATGTAAGGAAGATGATAAGTAATCAAAATTTATGATATCGATCAGACGAGAATTTCGACTTAAAATTTTAATAACATTATATTTTAAGAATTAGTCAGGCTGTTTTTAGAAGAGTTGTACTTGCGAAATGATTTAATTTAAAAAATCGCATCAAATTTATTTTGATGATTCTTTATTTATGTTTATAATAATTTATTTATTTATATTATTGAGTATAAAAATTGTTGTAATTTATGAAATCAAAATGATTCGCAAGATGAGTTTGTGATAAATGATGACGATGCATTAGAAAAATTTTGGCAGCTGTAAATCGAACAAGTTAGCATTCCTATGATAGCTATCAAGATAAAACCCTTTATAACAACATTAGAGAGGTGTTTAATAAACTAAATTATAAAATCTGGAGCGTGTGGATCATTTCAAGTAAATACTTCTAATGAAATGTGGGCAAAACGAAAAAGAGAGCAATTTTAAAATTAAAAATTAAAAACTTAAATATGTAATATGCATAAGTTCTCTGATCCACACCTATTTTGATTTTTAATAGACAATGACTAGTCAGTGTTCTTTTCAGCAATTTTAGTCGTGTGAAGCAACTTACTTCAATTAGGTGATTAGCTCTAATGTATTTTTTCGTTCCCCATCTAGATGGCCAAATCACTCCTCTTTCAGTCTATTTGGTGTTTAGCTTTTAATGGTATGTGCAAATCTATCTCACGATCTAATTCAGTTTTGAAACTTTCGCATAGTGTCAAAATTACCGCAGAGTGATTAGAATTCAAATCAAAATGCTGAAACTAATAACTTCCTTTGGCATAAACATCTTAATGGCTGTTACAACGCCGACATCATACGGTGATGATGGTATAGAAATTGTCTACCTACAATATTCATTAATGATATGATTTATAACCTCTTCGCCAAAAAGCAGTTTGTAGTATTAAAAGAATTAATACTGACTTTATCTGCTTGTCTGTTATTTCTTGTTGTTTTTGCTTTGTTTAGTTTCGTTCAATATTTGTTATTATTTTTTATTTTTGTGAACACTTGTTTTGTAGTAATTATGACTCATTTAAGTTGACCCATAGAAATGGTGTTGTTTTAATATGAAAATAAAACCCGAACAAAACAAGAGGTAAAATACCAAATTTCCTAGACAGACAAATCAGCAATTATCACATTGCAACAAATTCGAATGCTATTTTTGGATGTGAAAAATAATAATTAATATTTATATCGTTTTATTAGATATATTTAGCCGTACACTGTATATATTATATTCTACAAATTCATTAAATATTTTCGCATCACTAATTATGATCCTTATTTCTCAATTAATTAACTTTCCAATTAAAAGCTTCGTAATTTCTCGCATATTGAGTTCGTTGTAAGGTTTTAATCGGCTCAAACCCGCCACGTACTTACTATACATATAAAAATCCACCACGACTTAAGTCGTAGCACTCAGAACGTACCAAAAACACTTCCGTTGCTCCTGCTGGTTCAGTATTCACCAAGCAGCTGAAGCGATTGGATCGTTGCCCAGTTTCCAGTGTTACTACATTACACAGTTTTAATTAATCGTTACGGTAGGACGTTCGCTCGATTGCTTTGTTCGTCTTTGAAAAGGTTAAAGTCGTACATTTTTTAAAAATAGAAAATTTTATGTGCGGATTGGTTTGTTCTTATAATTTCTGAACCAAGGGTATGGAAGTGGTTACGAACAATGAAGTGTGTATGCAATGGATACAAGATAATTTCGAAGAAGTTCCCAATGGGTCTAATATGAATAGTGGTAAAATTTTATTTTAATTTTCTTGGGATAAAAAGAATTTTATATTGCTTATTTTTAGAACAGCGATTTGATTTATATTTAGCTCCATAAAAAATATATGAAAAAATATCTTGCTATAATTATCTTGTCTCTATGGACCTTTTTCGAATCAGTTTTCTTATTTTAAAACCTGTTTATCTTACATTCCAAAATCATTAATTAATGACGCGATTAAAATTAAAAGGTATGCGGAAACATGAATAATTCATTTCTATTATAAATACGAAAACAAGTCAATGATTGATTCAAATTTAGTTTAGCTGCACCTACACAACGTTCTTATTTTCAAAATATTTTGGTCAATCACTTGGTTTATTTTTTTTGGAAACATTAATTAATCGTTTATCTAAATTAAATTGAACATTGAACCTCTCTTTTCTACTTATCTACTTTAAAACGAAGTATACAAAATCAATTTCGGATCAAAAACACCAAAGTGAATACAAATATTTTGTTCGTCGAGTTATTTCGAGCATGTTTGTTAACGGACGTGGTATATAACATATATTATTTATGCTTTATTTACTTTATTATTTATCTTTCCATAAATTTGTTTAATGATTTCGTTTTTTATTATCAATAGGAAGTGAAAGTCCGTCTTATAATGCTGCGAGATTTCCATCGGATGGTCCGGATTTTTCCAACGAAATTTCAGCTCCTTACGAAGTTCCACAATTTCCAATCGAACAAATTGAAAAGAAATTGGCCATACAACGGCAAATAACGACAAAGTAAGTATATTTAGTGACCTTACACTTATAACTGCATTGAATTGAACCACCAACGCGGTTATGTTCGACCATTGACCCAATTTTATCGTTTCAAACGTCGATATTGAGAATTATAAATACCCAATACATTGTTGAGAAAGATTGTAATTAATTAGCGGTTGTATACAATTTTGTATTGGGACAAAAATAATTTCGCAAAGTTATTTTACGGTTGAAACTTTGTGTTTTCCCTTTATTACCGTTGTATCTATTGGCATCGGTTCAAATAATCTGAGTCATAAACTGTATAAGCTATTGCCAAAAAGGAAATGACTACGATTTTTCTTATTATTTTTACGTTCTATTGGCAGATGGGAAGATCAACAACTAAATCATTTCCATTCAATCGCCACACCCATTAATTTACAATTAAAATTCTTTAATTTACATTAAATCAATTAGTTAAATAGATAACTGTAATCGAGATAACATTGATATGTTGAAAGTATTAGGTGCGTGTAATAAACAACCCAACCCTGATTCAAAACCATAATACTGGTAGAATAAAGATTAGTAGAAAGAAGCAAATTAAATCTCTCAAAAAGTAAAGGAGGACGTATATGGTGGAAATATCAGAATTTGTTGAGACTATTCCAAATGTAATCCGATTTGAATAGTTACAAACATTATTCCATAAGATACAAATCATAAATCATTAAAGAGGAATAGTTTGTATCCATTTAGACCTCAAACAGTTTAAGTTCTACATGATGGATGCAAAAGGATTTGTAGGCAAGTATTGTAGATGGTTAATGCATTCCAGAATATGTTCCACATTTTAATGAAAACATTCTTTTAAGTGATGAATCTATATTTACTCGAAACAGCTATCTTAGATACTCAGAACCTATTGATAAAAACATCCAAGTAGATGCGATATACACCGACTTTAGCAAAGCTTTTGACAAAGTGGATCACTGTTTATTACTGTTGAAATTGGAGCGCGTTGGTGTCGCAGGTGTTCTTTTGAGCTGGTTTGCTTCATACCTCTCCAATCGCACGCAGGTGGTTGGGGTTGGCGGATATTTGTCCGGTTCTGTTATCATGTCTTCCAGAGTGCCTCAGGGTAGTCATCTGGGCCCGCTCTTGTTTACGGTGTACATAGGTGACATCACCAGGTCTTTTCTTACCTCAAGATGTCTTATGTATGCTGACGACATTAAAATATTTTCTTCTGTTGCTGCTGTTTCAGACTGTGTTAACCTTCAGAATGACCTGAACAGATTTTATGATTTTTGTGAGATTAATAATTTGTCACTTAACATATCGAAGTGTCGGACTGTTACTTTTACGAGAAAAAAGCAGTTCTTTAAATTTGATTACCGGTGCGGAGCATGCTTATTGGATCGTGTTGACACTATTAAAGACCTGGGCATTACTTTAGATAGCAAACTACTGTTTGATCAACACGTTGATGCAGTGGTGGCCAGAGCTAATAGGATGCTGGGATTTGTAATGCGCTCTTCTGAATCGTTTTGCTGCCCTAGACCTATTATTTCTTTATACAATGCTTTCGTTAATAGTATTTTATCGTTCGCCAGTACAGCTTGGAACCCTCAGTACGACGCATACATTAACAGAATAGAGAGGATTCAGATAAGGTTTCTGAAGTATCTCTCGCATAAATTCCGGCATCCTTATACAGATTACGAATCTGCCTGTCAAATGTATCATATGCCCACACTTCAGCAGCGCAGAACTTGCAGTGATGCCTGCTTTCTGTTCAGGTTGGTCAGAGGTTACTGTGATTCTTTCTATCTTCTTTCACGCATTGATCTGCATGTTCCCCCTCGTCGGCTGCGCTATGACTTTCTGTTCTATGCGCCGACTGCCCGGACAAATTCGTATAGAAATTCCCCAATACTTCGCATGGAGAGGACAGTGGACCGTCTTGGGTTGGACATATTCGCCGTCACGCCTCACAACTTCAAACAAATTATTCCTAATGCCGTGCTCGCCCTACCAGTTGTGTGATTTTATGTACATTATCTCGTTGCAGCGGCTTGAGTTCTGCCTTGAATTGATTTGATCACATATGCTTAAGGCTATTATCAATTGATCGATTGTCAATTTTGTGTTCATACAATTTATTGTATACAAAATGTATTATAGTGGAGTAGCTTTTATGTGGGACTGTGTCCTGTTGCTACCCCCGTGTGTGTAATAATAATAATAATAATAAATGACGAAGCACCAACATTTATGGATTAACAGATAGAAATTTTCTAACTGAAAATTGTTGATTTTGTTGTTTCAATAGAAGACTATTATAACATGAATGTATTTAAAATGGAATTTATCGCATTTTTATACAAGTTTGTCATAGACTGACGTAATTTCCAGCAATCATCTAAATTGCTAATTTACTTCTATGCCTCGCAACTTTAAGTTTCTCAACTATTTTACCAAGATTGTTATCGTTAACTAAAGCTTCAACATAAGTTTTAGCAAAACTGTCAACATTATTACTCAATCATCAAAATTTGATTCAACTTGCAAAAATTTTAATTTGTTCAATTTTTGATTCAAGAAACTAGAACACAAATGAATTGAGAGACTTTATTAAAAAAGTTTGATCTTCAGTAATGTCTTAACTTTATTTTAAGGTTCGTTGAAGCAATTAACATTGGTCCATTTAGGTTATTAATTAAATGACCATATTTGTTTGTTTTTGAAGGAATCTAAACGATCTTCTTTACATTTTACCTTTCACGCCTTAACTGCAACATATCAGGAGCAGTACTTACAGCATATCTCAATTCTGATTTATATGCATTAAAAGTGAATTTTTCTTATAGAATCCACCAACGGCATATGCTGTGATGCTTCAGAATCACATATCCAGGATATATTTCTGTTTATCGTATGTTAAGAAGAACATGTACAAAACTTTCCATTGTGATTTCTTCTTATTATAATTATGGATTTAATTAGGCATTTTCGTTGTTAGTAAGATCATTAGGTTTCGACGCCGGGAAGGCTCTTGATGCTTTTGCCAATAAGATTTCATAAAGATCATGTATGAGGTGATAATCATTATTAGTGATCAATATTAGTACTGTTCTTTTTCAAACCTACTTTTAATAATACGTTTAGTCATCAGTTGCTCGTCCATAATCAACTCATATATCGATGAAACAAAATTTGTCAACCTATTATTCTAAATTAGCGTCATGTACATCTTAGAATGGGTGTGTCTTTCTCCATTTTCTTCCAGAAATCTTTTCTCAGTATTCTCACCCTTATAAAATCCTTCTGCATGCAGTCGAAGTATGATAATCATCGTTAAGTACCTCCTGATATACCTCCATTTATGCATAATGCAAGCAATTTTTTTCTGTAGTAGTTTTTTAAATTCTATTAAATGTAGCAGTGTTTGTTCGACTGGAAGTCTTAAACCACCAACTTACTGCATCATAATGGTTTCCATTTTTTTAGGATTGACGAAGAGGTTTCTTCTAGCTCTTAATTCAGTGTTGTTAAATTTATGTCTAAAACATTTTCTGCCTACTTGGTTTTAGCAAGGATCTCTAGGATGACCTTGTGGCCAGATTTCAACACCTGGCAGATTAACAATGTTATGTGTTATAGTATTTTCAATCCAACCTCAGAAGATCGGTGCAACGTTATGCTCACTTAAAGCTTAATTAAAATTCGAGAAGATTGTCTTATCTCTGCATCTATGAATCTACTCCCAAGGCAGGCTTCTTACGTCTTGCCTTGAGTACACATATTGACTAGGATCTATATATTTGTTTGGGAAATAAAAGATTTCAGTCGGAGACCAATTTAAAGTTTTTGGCTCTATTAAAGCCAAATAGTGGCACATCCAAAACTAACTTCCGGCTTTAATTAGTCACTAATGACTCTTACTTAATCCAATTGCGTTCAATCTTTCAAATAACGTTTATATGAAATAATCCACATCCGTTCTTCTAAATCTCAAATTTAGGTTTGTACCAGTCTTTTTGATACCAAGATCGAAAGAGATGTATGTATCTGTGGTTTGTCATTAAACTTCATCTGTGCTGCTTTGCTATAATTTCTTTTATCCCTTACTCGAGCTGCTTAAAGGAATTTTAACACATTTTTCCTATGTTCCATTTAATCCACTCGTCATTGTTTCCTTACTCCGAAGATAAAAAAGACTAAATACGATGTCTTTCCTTAATTCTTAGCGAAAGAGCATCCTCAACAATGTCATACCCTCCTAAGAAAGAGTTATCGGTACAATTGCCATTAGTAATCGTTTTGAAAATTTGGCCTCCATAAACTATCGTGGAAAACGTTGACATCAAATATAGTGATTAAAACGTGTGACAGAAATGCATTCATAAATCCTTTTTATTTGCTTTATCAACCGATTAACCTCGAATCTATTTCTGCCTCTTCCTATTCGAGGAATCTTAACGAGGGTTTGGTAAAGGCGACAGATCTTTGTTGCTTGGGTTATGGGATCGCAACCTTATTCTCCCGCCATTGTAATTTTTTTGGCTTCGGCTCCACACACCCATTTCATACAATGGACATGAATGAAGTCCTGATTGTTAGGATATCCAATGTGACGTCAAACGGTTCAAAATGTTAGTCAACAAGAAAATAATACAAATGGATTTTCATGTTGAAGTTAGTACAACGTTTCTTACAGCACCTAATTACACGTTTTCACCAAAAAAGCTTAAAAATCGAGGTGCTATAGCGGGTTTAAGCAGTCGCAATGCACGAAGTACCCATTAATAACCTTTATTATAGTGTCGGTGATTTACAACTCGTAAAAGTCCAGAAGATTAAGTACTGCATTCAATTATAATGACAAAGTAGTGATAATAATAATATATGTGGAACTCTGTATGCCACCATAACTAACTCTTACACGGACAGAAGAAAACAAATTCGCAATAACTTTAGATATTACTAGTTTATGTAAGACCAAAAATAATGACTTTCCTAACATGAAAACATTGTAATGTGTATTTGAATCTCCTCTTTATCTTCCTCTTTATTGTTTCTTCTTCTAACATTTGAACAAATACTAATTATGTCATTATCGATATTCTTTTTGAACAATTATTTTTACTAAAATTACCAAATAACGTGACTGATCTCTTTTCCATGTTTTTCCTATTTCTAATCATCCACGGGGAATTGTCATCCAACTCTCTAATTGCCGGCCACTTCTGTAATTTATAACCAATTTCCGGCCGCTATTCGTTTTGCACGTTTCGCGTTCGTTCATGGCGAAGATGACCGCATATCGTGAAAGGGGTTATATTATCGACTTTTAAGTCGATGCACGAGTTGCACGCGGCCTAGTATATTCCGAGCTCCTTTCTTGTTCACTTCAAAAAAAATAAACATCTTCATCCGCAATCCTTTTCCACATTCATAGCGCGTTCTAAAAATAACTTTATTCTATAAATAAAGAAATAAGTTATTCATGTTTGATTCGGATGTTGATTATGATTATTGTTTCTTTAGGTAAATAAAATATAATTATTAAATAATAACTTTTATTTACTTTTAACAGAGTTTTAGAAGATAAAAGGAGCCATTATGAACCATCACTACAAGGTGTTCCAGACGACCAAGACCACTTGCTCGTGGATGAACATGATTTTGTACCACACTTTCAAAGAGTTTCTATTTCTGGAGAAGATACCAGCGGGGTAAGCTTTATTACTAAATGATCTTGATTTGAAACCTTTCAGTATCTAAGGGAATCCATAAAAATTCCTGTTCGGTTTTTATTCCATAAAAAAGATATCGAGGTTTACAGACTAAGATCAATGTCAAAGTTTATAAAAACATTTTGAGTAAAGTACAATAACAAATTTATTACAAAATCTGTTTTGATTAAAAATATTTTTAAATATATTTGGATTAAAAATCTTAAGAACCTCTTGCATCATTATCATCATCAGTCGAAACTAAAAGAAGTTAAATATGGCAAAAAAAACGTTTTAGCTAATTTGTAATTTTTTTATAATTAATACTATGTTCAGTTTCATATATGTTGAGCCTTAGAAGTGATATAAATCTGCTTCTGACACCCAAAAAGACGAAATTGTGGAAACCGAAAAAAGTGAGTCTCACTCGGGACAAAGTTTTCGTTATTATTTCCACTAATCTGTATCACCTATGAAGTACAAGCGTGAATATTTGTAAAGTATTTATAAGATCTCGTTTTATTCGTGGACTCACGTCGATATGAACTTTATGACTAAAAATAGCTTGCTTGGTTTATAATTCATAAATCTCAAATACAACTACATCCTTGTAGCATAATTCTTAAGTAATTGTTATTTTAAAAAAGTTTCATTTATATTTTGGACATTGTTGCAAATGGACTATTTATAGAGACCTCATGAGTGTCAAATATAGATCTTAGAAGCGCTGAGAATATTGATAACACAAGTCTCAATGGGCATAGAAATGAAAAATTAAAGCCTGCTAGCCCTTTTCTTTACTGATGACCAAGTTGGTGTAGCAAATGAAGAATGTGATATTGACTTTATATTCAGGAAACTCATGGAAGAATATAGGAACTGGGGACTGAATATATGGATAAGATAGAATATATAGTAATAGGAAATAACTTAAGTGATCCTGAACTACAAATAAATAACAAAATAGGAAGGTGCAAGAAATATAGATATTTGGGCAGAACACGACAACAAAATCGGAGAAGTGTTCGTATGCTAAATTCCTTATTATGGTCAAGTTAGATTAAACTAAAAACAAAAATGATAATCTACCGATCAGGAGTAGAGCCAATTTTAACATGCAGAAAACAACTTGACACAGCAAAAGTGGACTTTCTAAGAAGAGCATGCAGAGAGTATCTAAGAACATCAACGATATATCGAAAATGAGGACATTAAAAGAAACCAAACAGTTTGTATGTTATGAAAATGCGCGAAAACAGATGGCCAAAAAGTGCTCTTGGATTGTATCAACATAGAAGAAGGAGAAGTAGACCAAATATAACCTGTATTCAAGGGGTCAGACAGAGTATGACTGACTTTTTTGAAATACTGAGGCTATTAGTCTAAAATTTTTAATTGTTTATTTTGTAGCTGCTTCACTTGGAAACTATGACTATGAAAAGCATAATTTCTATTTTTTCCAGCGCAAATATGATATGAATAAGGAATAACTTGTGGACTTGGTCTCAATAAACTCGTCCATAGCAGTACTAAGTTCGTTTATTTGCCTCACCTTTTGTAGACAAGATGGAATTTCCATGGTCTATATCATAAATATTGAAAACATAATACCACAATTTTCTGAGAGAAAACTTTTCCTGCACTGGAATGGCATGGACAAGATTTGCGTATGATCAAATACGATAGGCATCACATTGGTGGCAGATTTACTACAAATTTACTATAAAACTTTTTGGCCCATCAGTAGTTCCACTACTACCCTTTTTGTTGTTTCATTGACTTGACTTATGGATTCAACGCCTCATATTCAGAACACACGTTCACCTGTGACCAATCCAAATTTATAGCTAAAAATGTCCCTGCAATATTTCAAGTAACACCATATATTTCTCAAGGGGTAATCGACATACTTGAGTCCTAATATGTGAATGCAACTAAGGAGCAACGAAAATCCTTTTTTGGAAATGAGCTAATCTGATCGGTTATTTTCACAATGACTTCAGAATCTAGCAAATTGCTATTGATATCGTATCTCTTTCATCAAAAGGCAATATTTTTGGTTTTCTTCAATTTTGGGAAGTTGTTATAGGGACTTATTCCATATTGCATGCAGATGCAAGAAAACGTATCGATAAACTTTAATCTTGCTTAACTTTTTAATTACGTGCTACATAAGCTGATGTTATCTGCTTTAAATTGGCGGATATTGCGCGATTTCTGGCAACGTCTTTTCTGTCAATAAACCCTTCATATGAGTGATACACTTTTCTCTTTTTTGTCATGCTAGTTTCTCCCTTGCTTTAATATGATTCATTTCAATACGCGTTTCTTTCTTTTCAGCTTATTGTCCTCATCCAAAGATGGTTCAGATCTTATATCGGACTTATAATATCATTCTTATTATTTCTTCAGTACTGAGCTTAAAAGTTTTGTAAGTTTTGGAATTTTTGGCGATTGCGTAGAAACTGTTGCTGGTTCTGGAGTTTTTGGATGTACCATGCAAGTGTTGCTGTTCAAGTATTTTGTGGATTTTGTCATAGATGGTTATGTATCAGTTTTAGTCATTTTTGGCATTTCTCCAATGAGCGTATTATTTTCTGCTTCTGGTCTCATTAGTAATTGAGACCTTTTTCTCTACTTCAGATCTTTGCAGTTGGTCTATGTAACGTTTGATTACATACCCATCATCTAACTCTACTAAGTAATGCAATTTCCCTAGTTTCTCAACAATTGTTCCTAGTTTCCATAGGGTTGATGTAGAATATTTTCTGGATTGGACTTTTTCTCCTAGGCGTAACTCCTTGCTTACGACTGGTTGGTCAGCATTGTTTTTAATAGAGTCTCTCTTCATAAATAATTCTGCTGGGGTTTCGTCTGATCCAGTTAGTGGAGTTGTTCTGTATCCTTATTTTTAAAGTTGCGATATACTTTTCTGCCTGACTGTTTATAGCTGGATGTCCTGGTGCGATGAAATTCTGACGAACACCATTTTTATTGCAGAAATCATTAAATCTTGAGATTTAAAAATTGTCGCATTATCAGAAACTAAAATTTGTGGTAGACCTGTTCTGCTGAAGATCTCCTTCATCATACACAGGATTGATGCTGTTGTTGGAGCTGTTTTTGTACTTATTATTTCTGGCTATTTGGACTTAGCATCCACCATGATAAAAAAAAGTGTCCTTGAAAAGAATCCACATGCACTCTTTTCCATACTTCTTCTGGAATATCCCGTTTATGGAACGGTATTTTGTTTGCTTTTTTTTGCTTCAATATCTTTGTCTATATTTTTCCAATAACATTGCCCAATAATACATATGATTTGAAAATTTATTTTGTTATATCTGCCTGACCGTGTGTAGCTGGATGTCTTGGTGCGATGAAATTTTGACGAATAACATTTCTATTGCAGAATTTCGGGAATTCTTGTGATTTAAAAATTGTCGCATTATCAGTAACTAAAATTGTGGTAGACCTATTGTGCTGAAGATCTTCATCATATACAGGGTTGATGCTGTTGTTGGACCTGTTTTAGTACTTATTATTTCTGGCTATTTGGACTTAGCATCCACCATGATACAAAAAAATGTCCTTGAAAAGAATCCATATGCACTTTTTTCCATACTTCTTCTGGAATATCCCATTTATGTAACGGTATTCTGTTTGGGTTGTTTTTGCTTCAATATCTTTGTCTATATTTTTACAATAACATTGCGCAATAATACATATGACTTAAAAATTTATTTTATTATATTGATTTTTTTTTAAATTTCGACTAATGATAACAGTTATACCTCGAAAGGTGTTGAATTTTTCTTAATATTTCATATTGTTTTGATGAAATGATACATTTTTTTATCATTATTTTTTATTTGTATAGGTACCGTTAGAAGATTTAGAAAGAGCATCTCGTTTATTAATAACCGCCTTAAAAATAAGACATAGATACATGCAAATGTCGCATCAATCGTTTTGTTCAACCACATCAAGATTTTTGTACCCAAATAGCAGCGAACATACTGAACAGAAACACGACGATAAACAAACTATAGAAGGTAAGATTAAGTTTAATCGAAAAAATTGGTTCAAAAAAATATATCAAGGATTATTTTGAAGGTTAATTCAATCTTTTTTTCTAATCACTTTTTTGTATATATTCAGCACTTTGTTGACTTTTTGAACTTTTTTCTTTAAAATGTAGTCCCTTCTTATTATGGTTTATAAAAGCATGACTTTTTTGATATAGATATCAAGAAGTACGACTTTCTCTTAAGTTGTAATTTTCGTTTTACCCCGCAGCTTTTTCACAAAATCCCCAAAAATGCCTTTTTAAACGTTTTTTTCTTTTTTAATTTTTTTTTGTACAAACGGTGACGGTTTCAATTCTTTCCTGTTTTTGTTTTTAAACAATACAAGATGATTCGTTTTATTTATTTCTTCTTACATAATTTGATTTCTTTACAGCAGTTTCGGTAAGATTACTTTTTCTTGTTGTGTTTCTTTTCTAAAATACAGTGAATTACTTTTGACGTTATACTTATAATTAAAATTAATCATTTTAATTAATTAATTAAAAAAAATAAATAAAAAGAGTTAACCACTGTATTTTCTTTTCATTGTTGCGAATCATCTTGTAAAAAAATAATAAAAAATATATTGTACTTCTTGTATTTGGGGGGTTAAAAGTAAAAGTCAAGTCATTTGGGTTGGGTTCGTTAAAAAAGATAAAAAAAAGGAAAATATTTTGAATAAAAATCAAAAAAATAATTCAATTAATTATAAAATATAAAAAATATAAGCGTAGTCGCTGAGCTTTTGCATGTAGCAGAGGTAAAAAACAACGCGACCCAAGTGAACGGATCCTTGTTGAACGAGTACGCGATGAAGCAGACGGCTAGCGATCAAATTATCGACAGTATATTGCAAAACAAAGACCCCAAAGGTAACCACCACCACCGTCCGTTTTTTTATTATCTTTTTTCTCTTCAATTTCATTCCACTTCCATATGTCTTTTTATTTCAATTATTTTATCCGCCGTTACATTATCCTTATTTTATTAGATTTGTTTAGTAATTTCGCTTCCCGCAACCATTTTTTTTATCGTAGTTAAAGACATAACACGACTTTGTCAAATCTTCTCACGTTTTCATTTTACGTTGTTTTGAATGAAAATCACCTTACCAAGGACAAGGTTTGAAAAGTACTTGTAGTTTTAGTCAAAAAAGTGTTGTTTTAAAGATCATAACGCTTTTATGTAATTTGGCTTGAACATATCATGATTTGCTTAAAAAACCTATATTATCAATAGTAAAAAGATAGTTGCAAAAGAAAAAATGAGTTTTGTGCTTCTTCACGCTTTTTTTACAATCTAATAGACGCATATTTTAGAACATGGCATTCATCCACCCAGCAGAGGAAATCCTTGGGAAGCACCGGAAGTTCCCGACGGAAATTACGTATTTAAAGCTCACCAAGGTGTTTATCACGTTTATATCGATGAAGAACATGCTGCTAGGGATGAATATTGCGAATATCCTTATCCAAATTTGGAAGAATTTGTTACTGATATGAATACTATGTGTAATATGATAGCTGATGGACCTTTGTGAGTTAAATTGTGAAAATCAAATTTTTCACCTAATATTTTATAAATAAAGTTGATTATGAATTATTTTTTTTTAGGAAATCATTTTGTTATCGTCGATTAAGTTATTTATCCTCGAAATTTCAACTTCACGTCTTACTAAATGAACTTCGGGAATTAGCCTCTCAAAAAGCAGTTCCTCATCGAGATTTTTACAACATCCGCAAAGTAGATACTCACATCCACGCGGCTTCCTGCATGAATCAAAAACACCTATTACGGTTTATCAAGAAAACGTTAAAAAATCACGCCGATGAAGTTGTAACTGTAAACGATGGAAAAAAGATGACTTTGAAAGAAGTTTTTCAGGTAAAGTTAAAAAAAAAAGAACAAGTAGTAATTAATTTAGGATTTTAACATTTTTCTCCCATTTAGAAATGTTGAACTCATTTTTTCTTTTAATCTCATTTTTAAAAGCTTCTTTTTTTCTTTTAATTAATAATAAAATTGCTTCTTATTTATTTTTATTAAATGAATTAATAAAATTATTCTTTTCCGATAATTTTGGTGTTAAGGCCACACTTCTCTATTTTTATGCTTGTGTGTTTCCAGCGCCACATGTGCAGTTTCTATTCAACTTTACCGCACATTTATATTGAGGTAAAGGTCTCGTTAGTTTCATTTTTTTTTGTTTAGACTATTTATTATATCACTTTACTCATCTTTCATTATCACAGTAAAGAAATATTAAATAATAGCTTAAAATATATCCTAAATTTAACTTAATTTTATATCTTAAATCTTGTTTTATTAATGTTGAACTTATTTTGCTTGTTTTAAAACACATATAGGTGTTCAACGGATGTGCAGTTACCAAAATAGTAAATAATAAAGATGTTATTAAAAATATGTAGCGAAAAACAAACTAAAACATTCGTAAAACATGCTATATACAATGTGTTGATTTTTAATTTAGAAACCATCACTAAAAAGATCTCGAATCATTTAATAAAAGATTGTTTATTTTCTTTTTATCAATTTATTTTTATTTTTCCTTAAAAAAAACGGTTAAAAAATGAGTTCAATAATATTAATCAACTTTTAAAATCATATGCATGCTATTTATTAATACAGTAAAACCTTGATAAAACTACAGCTAACACTAGCACTACAACTTACACTAGACGGAGGACTAGAAACATTCGGGTTTAGCTGTGCGTCTCTTAAGACAGCTAAACCTGAATGTTTCTACTTCTAGATTTAGTGTTAATTCTACTTTTAGTTCAATAAAAATGTATAACAATCTAGCGATGAATAACTAGAACTAACACTAGAGCTAGAAACATTCGAATGTTCATTATAAACAATTTATTTTCAAAATACTTTTCTGTACCACCGTTACTTTTTGAGTTATGACCGAGTTTAATTACAAAAACCATCAATTTTGACATTTTGGTGATTTTGACTTTCTAACTAAAATACAGTTATGGCTAAGTTAAATCTAGTTATGGATAATGTTATTTTGGTTCATTATAAACAATTTATTCCCCAAATACTTTTCTCCATCACCTTTAGTTTTTGAGTTATGGCCGAGTTTAATCACAAAAACCATCAATTTTGACATTTTAGTGATTTTCACTTTCTAACTAAAATACAGTTATGGCTAAGTTCAATCTAGTTATGGATAATGTCTTTTAAGTTCATTACAAATAATTTATTCCCCAAATACTTTTCTCTGTCACCTTTACTTTTTGTGTTATGATCACAATTAATTACAAAAACCATCAATTTTGACATTTTGGTGATTTTCACTTTCTAACCAAAATACGATGAAAGCTAAGTTAAATCTGGTTATGGATAATGTCTTTTTGGTTCATTATAAACAATTTATTCCCCATATACTTTTCTCCATCACCTTTAGTTTTTGAGTTATGGCCGAGTTTAATTACAAAAGCCATCAACATTTTAGTGATTTTTACTTTCTAACTAAAATACAGTTAGGGCTAAGTTAAGTTTACTTATGGATAATGTCTTTTCGGTTCATTATAAACAAATTATTCCTCAAATACTTTTCTCCATCAAAATTACAAAAACCATCAATTTTGACATTTTGGTGATTTTCACTTTCTAACTAAAATACAGTTATGGCTAAGTTAAATCTAGTTATGGATAATGTCTTTTTAGTTAATTACAAATAATTTATTCCCCAAATATTTTTCTCTATCACCTTTACTTTTTGAGTTATGATCACAATTAATTACAAAAACCATCAATTTTGACGTTTTGGTGATTTTCACTTTCTAACAAAAATGCGATTAAAGCTAAGTGAAATCTGGTTATGGATAATGTCATTTTGGTTCATTATAAACAATTTATTCCCCAAATACTTTTCTCCATCACCTTTAGTTTTTGAGTTATGGCCGAGTTTAATTACAGAAGCCATCAACATTTTAGTGATTTTTACTTTCTAACTAAAATACAGTTAGGGCTAAGTTAAGTTTAGTTATGGATAATGTCTTTTTGGTTCATTATAAACAATTTATTCCCCAAATACTTTTCTCCATCACCTTTACTTTTTGAGTTATGGCCTAGTTTAATTACAAAACCCATCAATTTTGACATTTTGATGATTTTCACTTTCTAACAAAAATACGGTTAAAGCTAAGTGAAATCTGGTTATGGATAATATCTTTTTGGTTCATTATAAACAATTTATTCCCCAAATACTTCTCTCCATCACCTTTAGTTTTTTAGTTATAGCCGACTTTAATTACAAAAGCCATCAACATTTTAGTGATTTTTACTTTCTAACTAAAATACAGTTAGGACTAAGTTAAATTTAGTTATGGATAATGTCATTTTGGTTCATTATAAACAATTTATTCCCCAAATACTTTTCTCCATCACCTTTACTTTATGAGTTATGGCCGAGTTTAATTACAAAACCCATCAATTTTGACATTTTGGTGATTTTCACTTTCTAACTAAAATACGGTTATGTCTAAGTTAAATCTAGTTATAGATAATGTCTTCTTGGTTCATTATAAACAATTATTCCCCAAATACTTTTCTCCATCACCTTTAGTTTTTGAGTTATGGCCGAGTTTAATTACAAAACCCATCAATTTTGACATTTTGGTGATTTTCACTTTCTAACTAAAATACAGTTATGGCTAAGTTAAATCTAGTTATGGATAATGTCTTTTTAGTTCATTACAAATAATTTATTTCCCAAATACTTTTCTCTATCACCTTTACTTTTTGAGTTATGATCACAATTAATTACAAATACCATCAATTTTGACATTTTGGTGATTTTCACTTTCTAACAAAAATACGGTTAAAGCTAAGTGAAATCTGGTTATGGATAATGTCTTTTTGGTTCATTATAAACAATTTATTCCCCAAATACTTTTCTCCATCACCTTTAGTTTTTGAGTTATGGCCGAGTTTAATTACAAAAGCCATCAACATTTTAGTGATTTTTACTTTCTAACTAAAATACAGTTAGGGCTAAGTTAAGTTTAGTTATGGATAATGTCTTTTTGGTTCATTATAAACAATTTATTCCCCAAATACTTTTCTCCATCACCTTTAGTTTTTGAGTTATGGCCGAGTTTAATTACAAAAGCCATCAACATTTTAGTGATTTTTACTTTCTAACTAAAATACAGTTAGGGCTAAGTTAAGTTTACTTATGGATAATGTCTTTTTGGTTCATTATAAACAATTTATTCCCCAAATACTTTTCTCCATCACCTTTACTTATTAAGTTATGGCCGAGTTTAATTACAAAACCCATCAATTTTGACATTTTTGTGATTTTCACTTTCTAACAAAAATACGGTTAAAGCTAAGTTAAATCTAGTTATGGTTAATATCATTTTGGTTCATTATAAACAATTTATTCCCCAAATACTTTTCTCCATCACCTTTAGGTTTTGAGTTATGGCTGAGTTCAATTACAAAAACCATAAATTTTGACATTTTCGTGATTTTCACATTCTAACTAAAATACAGTTAAAGCTAAATGAAATCTACTTGTGGATGTTTTTTTGGTTCATTACAAACAATTTATTCCCCAAATACTTTTCTCCATTACCTTTAGTTTTTGATTTATGACCAACTTTAATTACAAAAACCATCAATTTTGACATTCGTATTGAATAACAATTAAAACTAGAACTAACACTAAACCTAGAAAGATTAGGGTTTAACCATGTCTAAACCTAAAACATTCTTGGAAACAAATATTAATAGAACGACTTAAAAATATTTTATCCATTCTAAAGAGGTCCGCTATCGAAGTTTTACTGTATTATCTACTCAATTTAAAATTAAGTTGAAAATTTAAAAAAAAAAGGACCACTTTATTGATATTTATTTTTAAATTTTAGTCAATGAATTTAACAACATACGATTTAACTGTCGATATGTTGGACGTTCACGCCGATCGAAACACTTTCCATCGTTTTGATAAATTTAATGCGAAATATAATCCAATTGGTGAAAGCAGACTTCGCGAGGTTTTCCTAAAAACTGATAATTATCTAAACGGGAAATATTTCGCTAGAATTATAAAAGAAGTTTCTAGCGATTTGGAAGAATCGAAATATCAAAATGCTGAATTAAGGTTGAGCATTTATGGAAAAAGTCGTGAAGAGTGGGATAAATTGGCTAAATGGGCTATTGAAAGCGATGTTTATTCAGATAATGTTCGTTGGTTAATACAAATTCCAAGACTTTAGTAAGTTTTTTAAATATAATTTAGAATTTAATAAAATATTAACAACTTTGTATTATTTTTTAGTGATATTTTTAAATTAAATAAATTGATGCAAAACTTCCAAGAGATAATCGATAACATTTTTGTTCCACTTTTGGAAGTAACCGCAAGACCGTCTTCGCATCCAGAACTTCACAAATTTCTTCAGTATATTATTGGTTTTGATTCGGTTGATGACGAAAGTAAACCGGAAAATCCTCTTTTTGATCGTGATGTTTTAACTCCTGATCAATGGACGGATGTTGAAAACCCACCTTATGCTTATTACCAATATTATGTGTACGCAAATGTAGCGGTTGTAAATCATTTCCGAGCGGCAAGAGGGTTAAACACTTTTGTTGTAAGACCACATTGTGGCGAAGCCGGTCCTGTACAGCATTTAGTTTGTGGTTATATGCTTTCTGAAAATATTTCTCACGGACTTTTATTAAGAAAAGTACCTGTTTTACAATATCTTTATTATTTAGCTCAAATTGGAATTGCAATGAGTCCACTTTCTAATAACAGTTTATTTTTAAATTATCATCGAAACCCACTTCCGGAATATTTAGCTAGAGGATTGGCTATTTCTTTATCAACTGATGATCCGTTACAATTTCATTTTACAAAAGAACCGTTGATGGAAGAATACAGTATCGCCGCTCAGGTTTGGAAATTATCCAGTTGTGATATGTGTGAATTGGCTCGAAACTCAGTTTTGATGTCTGGATTTCCGCACAAAATGAAGCAATACTGGTTAGGACCTAATTACACAAAAGAAGGTGTTGCAGGGAATGATATTTCTCGCACGAATGTACCGGATATTCGCGTCGCTTTCAGATATGAAACTTTATTAGATGAACTCTCAAATATTTTTAAATCGTATCATAAAATCGGTTGATTACCTTCCGTATTAAAAAGATTTAAATAAAATGATACCTCTGACAATATAGTTTCCTTTTTTATATAATATGTTAATTAATACCTTGTAACATTGCTACTTATAAAGTTTTTATATTAGAATTTTCATTTATCTTTCATTTCTTAGTCATATTAGTAACTACACTTGAATTTTCTTATATTTAAAAAGTTATTTGTTTCATTATTAATTATAGTTTAGTCAAATTTTATAAAAGTATAATAAAATGTGATTATTATAGAATTCTTAGTGATTTAGTTGTGATTTATTTATTAACTTTTTTTCAATTTCTTACGTTTATCAATGTTAAAAACATGTTCAATAAAACCTGTTAACCTGTTGTCAACCACTAATGAGAGAATTTTGAAATACGAAATGACCAATTTTAGAATCGCTGTACGTTTTATTCTTGTAGCTAGTAAATAAACAAAGGTAATTTCAAAAATCAATATACTTTTTGTAACCTCAGCCGCAAGCTATTAATTCTCTCAATTCGTAAATTCATATCATAAAAGTAAGTATTGTATATTGAGGGATTAAAGATATATCTCTGCTGGGTCTAAAACCTGGAAGTCAAGGTCGTTTACGGCCGAGACGCTACAATTTTTACCGTTAAGGATAAACGCTAACTTTGAGTTATCAGTTGTTTTTTTCGCACTTTTAGAGAAAAATTAATAACCTGATTTTTGTTATAAAGTTTGAAAGGACTGAAAATATTAAATATGTAGAAAAATTTATATTCATATTTTAAGCTTGGAATCTAAATTCAGTTGAAGATGAGATTTAAATTAGTTGCTGAATCTTATTCCAAGATTATTGAGCATATAAAATAGACTTTATACAAATAAACCCAGTACTTAGTAACTTGTATCCTATTCATCCATCATCCTGTTCCTCTAAAAGTTTTATGCAGACATCTAAACACTTTGATGTATTTTTTACAACTTCATCAAATTGTCCACGACCATCATTAACTGCCCTCTTAAACAAAAAGTTTCATTTTAAAAATAATTAAAAAAAAACTTTATTTTAAATCTAAACAACTTACCACTACTTCCAACGCATCTTTAGCCAATTTTTCTAAAACCTCATTAAGAAATGCAAAAGCCTGCTCCTGACATTCATTTCGATGATTATTCAGCTTTTCTTCTCTAAAACAAAAAAAAATGGTATTGATGATTTATAAAAAGCTTAAACTGACTTTTTTATCAATGTTTCTATATTTCCTTCAAGAGCAATAAGATTATCTTGTAAATCTTCAACCCTTCTTAGACAATCAACCTTTCTTTTCTGTTTATCTTCAAGATGTTTTTGCATTTCTTTAGTTTGCTAAAAAGAACATTAATTAACATGGTATTAATTATACTGGTTTTTGGTTCATTTTTTACTTTAGAGTGATTGTTGGTTTTTTCATTTTTTGTCTGCTCCAATTCCTGATTGATTAGAATCTGTTCTTCTACACTTTTCTTTAGACTTTCCAATTGTTCCGCAAGCTATAAAAAACATAATAAATTTCATAAATACAAAATATTTAGAAAGTGTTACCTCTGCCTTGGTAGCATTTAATTCTTTCATTGCATTGTTCAATTTTTCCAGTTCTTGTATTTTAAGGTTTTGAAGCTCTCCCAGTTTTTCTTTAAAATTAATTATAATCTGCAAAAATAATATAAACTCAAATGTCAAAGGTTTGCTAATTACTTATAGTGGGCCAATATTTTCTCGAATCTAATCCACACACAAAACGATACTCAAGGCTGCTCAAAAACTGCTCAAGGCAGCTATTACAGACTGAAACAGCAAAAAATTACGGGAGCAAAAAAAGACAATTTCTTGAAATTAATCAGTTTTCCGGTTCTTACAAGACGAAAGGAAGGGCTGTATGTAAGTTACGATTTACTTTGTGGAAGAAGCAATTAAAAAAGCAAATTCGTTGAATATTTGACAATGAATGAGGCGCAGAACTACAATTTGCCAAAAGCTATAGCCCCCTTGGCATATATTGGTTTAAGCCGTTTACACAGGACGTTAGACAGTATTTTGTATGTCGTATTTAATAATAATATAATAATAATAATAATAAATGTCTTTATTGCACATACCAATGTATACAACAAAAGAAAAAATATATATAATAATAACAAAAATTGTATCTATAGTGTAGATATATTCTAAACTAGAATGTTTAAACAACAAGAGACCAAAAAACTTAGTACCTAACACTACAAAAAAAGAAAAGAAAAAAAAATGGCATTGTGCAATAGGCGGGTTCCAGATAAAATCTGTTCAACCAACCTTACCACATACATAAACTTAATATTATACTACACGCGTCCCACGACAACGACAATACAATTTCTTGAATATTCCTCCCTCTCCTGCTCTGAACGTTAAAAAAAAATCATTCAAATGAATAACTATGACAAGGCTGCACATTGCTCCAAAAATTTATCTTTATATAGTGTTTTTTTGAAATTAATGATATTTAGTTTTTTGATCATAGGCGGTAGCGTTCCATATGACTTATATATGTGATACGTAAAAGACCTGTGAAACAAAGAGGTTCTGTATTTTGGTGGATATATGCCATATTTTAATCTCGTTTGTAGAGCATTGTTAGCCCTTTTAAAAGTAATCCTCTCATACAAGTATGTCGGTATATGTGTTGTGACGATTTTATGAAACAAAACCAAACTGTGCAACTCCCGGCGGATATCCATTCTGTGCCACCCAACATCTTTCAGTTTGTGTGAGATTCTGTCATACTTCCGGATTCCAAAAATGAACCTAAGGCAACTATTTTGAACCTTTTGTATGCGATTCGATGTAAGCACATCTATAGCGGGATGATACACAGGCGCCATAAAGTTGAAGTGAGACAGCACAAGAGAATCACATAACTGTTTTTTTAATTTTATCGAAAGAACGGATCGGTGAGGATAAAGTTTTCTTAAACATGAATACGACCTTCTCATGTAAATATTAATTTGAGCTTTAAATCTGAAGGTGTTATCTATTGTTAAACCCAGGCATTTTGCTTCCTTAACAACATTGATTCTTGTACCATTTATATGAATATCAAGATCCAAGTTCAGCCCTGTGACCCCTCTCCCTCTCCCGAAACATACACACGCAGACTTATCAGGATTAATCTTTAGTTTAAGAAACGTCGCAATATTAAATATAGTAGACAGGTCCTCATTAATACGTATCTGTGCTAGATTCTTATCATTTTCATGAAAGGACAGATAACACTGTATATCATCAGCATACATATTGACTTTACAATATTGTACCCGACTACTAAACCGCGAAGTGTACAAAGAGAACAAGAGAGGCCCCAACACCGAACCCTGTGGTACACCATTCAAAACTCTAATTGTGTGAGACAAATCATCACCGATCCTTACCCTTTGAGACCTATCGCAGAGGTAGTCACCCAACAAAGATACCGCCTCTGAACTCAGCCCCAAATCATACAGAATCTCACCCAAAACTGCATGATTAACGGTATCAAACGCTTTAGAAAAATCCAGGAAGACTACAGCAGTGTACAATCCATTGTCCGTGTTCGTAAGAATATCATCAGTTAGGCGCAACATTGCAGTTGTACAACTATAGCCACTTCGAAAGCCAGATTGCTCCTGAGGCAGCAAGCAATTACTCTCCACGTAACACACCACCTGCTGCTTCATAATTTTTTCAAGCACCTTGGATAACGTTGGAAGAATACTTATTGGTCTCAGATCTTTCAGTTGCTTGGGATCATCAACCTTTGCCAAAGGAATAACTATCCCTTGCTTCCAAAGCACAGGAAATTTACTCTCCGAAAGACAGCAAATTTAACAGAACAAATTTAATACAAATTTAATAGTGTAATTGTACTGTAGTTCGCACATTAGAGCTGGTCACCTTTCTTGTGTACCAGGACTATGATTCCCAAATTCACTATTAATTCTCGCGGAGTCTGCTTTAACTGGCGCTTAGTGGTTTTTTAGTTTGTTGATAGCACATATTATTGGTGGTGCTTTTTCTCTATCATCCCCATTATCCGTCAAATCGGGGTGGATAACATCCCCTATCCAAGCTTGCCCCTATAAAATTCCAGCCATCTCCCCAATACTTCGCTATGTTTTGTAAGGATGATTAGTAAGGATGACTAGTAAGTTTAATTCAATACTGGACTGTATGGTGCCGTCTGAATATAAACAATATGTTGATTTCAACTGCTGGAATATTCCTAAGTAAATATTGCAGTTGCAATAGTGTCTATTTTAAGATATTTTAGTCCAAAATGCCAAAGAATTATGAAAACAAACACAGTCATTCGATTCGCCATAGTTTCTTCTATCAAAGTCACATCCCATGACCTACCTACCATCGATATTTATGCATCTGACAATGATAGCAAAATTGCAGAAAAGCAATATTGTTAAGGATAAAGTTTGCTACAACTTTTATACTAAAACTTTCTTTTTTTAAATGTTCCAAATCATGTGCTAACTTCGTATTCATTGAATCTAAATGATTGTCTTTAATTCATTCGGGGATTCACACATCCACTGATTCTTTAAAAATTTACCTAAAGAATTACACACGAAACTCGTAATATCTAGAGGAAAAACATCCATACCAGAGACCTGCAGCGAATGGCTCACATAATGAATCATATTGACTGATTCGTTGTTTCGGTCTTGTCTTTATTTGTCACTATACTCTGTTTTTAAACCAGGAGGAGTAAACGCGAAAGTCAGATTTACACTAGGAGAAATCACCAGAAAATATCACTAGATATTTTGGCGGTAAATTTAAATTAATAATTATTATTATTTATTTATTATTGTATTTATTTTCGTTTGTTATCGTTAACATTAAACCTCCAAATTAACATTGAAGTTATGAGTGTATTTATTTCAAAATATAATAAAGAAGGGTTTAAGAACACAAAATTTACAATAATGACACGAAACTGTCGAATT